TTACGTACTGCAGTTTCTCCGAGTGAAAATGTGTGACGATTTTCAAGCAAAGGTCGAGAGAGACATTTGGTGTAGAAAACAGTTACGGACAAATGTATTTTGTCTCCTTCCAAGCGGCACTAATCGACATCCGGGGTAATGGTTCTCTGAGGAATTTGGTGGGGCACCCTGTTGGGTTTTTGTACAACGTTAGACTACACTCTGTATCTTCATAAACATTTTTTTATTTCAATTTTGTACAACATATTCCCGAAGATGTAACGATTCCAAAGTCAGGAATACAGTAGGTGTACATATGAAAAGATTCACGTCGACTATTGACACTGAATTTATCTTCGCATAGGCCTGGATTTCTAGTAAAGTGATAGGATGTATTGGTACCAATAATGTTAATGCAAGTTTGGGAGCCTTTAATAATTCTGATATTCAAACACGCCTTGCAAATTGACTTTATTTCACTAAAGGCGACACACATGTAGGCCATTCTTTTGTGAATGAGTTCACATCATCTAATCTTATCTATCCCTTAGTCTAATCATTCAAACCACAGATGATCTGACGACCAGTTTACTCTGCCGTCGTCGGTTTTCTGTATGTTTAGTGCTTCTCAAGGTAACAAAAAATCATCACAGTGTAATAAATGCAAACAACATTACGATTGCAGTAAATATGCTAGCTTTACTACGTCTCTGAAAAAAATCAAAATTGACAGTTGAGTTTTTAAACCGGCCAGTATTTTACCCTGGGTAAAAACAATAAGGAAGTGCTCCCACTGTGACCTTCCCAGCAGATTGAATAGTGAATTGGCCCATAAACTCATAAAAATCCTAGACTGTCTATCCTTCAGAACAAAGGCAGGAGCATTTGCATACTGGTCAGTTTTCAAAGATTCAAATTTTTATCATCTACTGGTTTTCAGTGTAACATTTTCAAAAGGCAGAATGACCCAGATACTTGTTACGAAGCCACATAAGCAAGGAAATCGCAACTTTCAGTTCGAAAAATCAATCTTGAACAAATTCCAACTTTCAAATCAGCCCTGTCAAAGTTTTATCCAATGGCATACATGCACATGTATATGGCGCCCTTACTATATACATTGTAATACCCTTCCTTGCTATATCAAACTTTCAAAGTGTCTACTTGTATCTGTCTTTCTCACAACTGAATTAGCTTTGGCAGTTTTGTGTCTGACATATGGCTTGTAAATGTGATGCCTACTTGCAGTCAGATAAACCAGTATGGACTTAGGCTCTGTATGTAGAACTGGGCATGTAACTGTCAACCAAGGTCTCAAGCTACAAGTCAGAATATGGCAAGCCAGTATACTTCATATTTCTGGATACTCGTGAATATAGCTTCTTATATATATGTGTGTGTCTCATTTTAAAGTGTCTTGAAGAGAAATTTTTACTTGGCAAGCTAAACTGTCTTAGACAGGCCTCCCTCCACGTATACTGCACGGCTGCCAGAACAAGACTGAAGTCTGGTAGTTTATGTTATCGAATTTATATCGGCAGGGTGGGGTCATTATATAGTATTACTGGCCTCTTTAAGACATATCATATGACACAAAAGTTCCCAGAATAACCATAATTACTAAACATTCCCAAATCATGAACAATATACAACCCTACTTCAATTGTTCAATTGGATTGTGATGATATTTGACATGTTGGTAGGACTTAGGAAGGCAAAGGTCAAGGTCAAATATGGCCTCCTGGTGACTGACCTTGGAACCGCTGTACTCCCGGCTGTTGTCGCGTACCAGACATGCATTTTACTAGAAACCGTCGGAGTGTTTATGACGGGAGGTTAAGCTGTACGTGGTCCACTAGTACTGTTCATTATGCTTGTCGAAAAGACCTCGAAATTTCCCCGGTACAATGAAGCTGCGAATACATTGTCTCTCTTCTTTATCACGACCAGTTGGAGAATAGATTTTCCGTGAGCTAAATCTGGATATTGATAATTTTCCTTCTTTTTATACTGCCATACCAGATTAATGAAAGGAGTTACAGCTCAAATGATGGCTGTATTCCCCAGGTAGCCCTGGTATTGTTGTTAAGACAGCTTCGCCTGAAAGTTGTCTGACAACAGGTGTGAATCAGATCGCTAGCCCAAGGCGCGTTTTCATAGCGATGTAATGAGACGGAAAAGCCTCAAAAGCCAGACACAAAAAGGCCTGCACACTTTTACCATCTACTTTCCAACACCGCATGCTGATACATGAACATACTGATGATGCAATGACTGCTGCCTGAAGTTACCTCCGTGAGATCTCCGTACGTGCACTAAAACTATGGCAGACCCGAAAGAAGGTTAAACTTTTGTCGAGATCAGAAAACAAAAGAAATGTTGTTTTCCCAGGTGACCTTCACTCCAAGATCGGGAATAGTTCACATGTAACGGGGGAGGAACTCCTGATTGTTATTATCTTGTCCATTG